TCTTGTCCAAAGGTCAAAGCTTCTGCAGAAACAGCATCAAGAGAGCTTTAAAAAACTGAGCCCCGACTTTACACCCTAACACTAGCGCATCCTCCGCTACGTAACTCGTGTAGCAATTCAATGTGGACTATAAATACCGTGAACCCTAGATACCCCTTGATACCCTAGATCCCCCCAATAAATCTTATGAAAACCTATATGGCCCCACACAGCATTACCCAAACCCAAAGAGTCCGTGTAGCTATACAATATATTTTTGGGCCCCAAAGTAAGTATATGAGTCATAGTCTAAATTCCTAGTATCCCCCTTAGTAACCTTATAATAGTCCTCTATAAAATTCCCTACACAACCCCCTTTCAGGAGTTTAGACGATAGCTCATATGGGAACCCGTTTGGGCGTTAGGTATACACCATAGAGCCCTAGACCCTACCCTAAACCCCTAAACCCTTTGGAAAACAGACCAGTTGCCGCGAATTCCAGGGCCACTCTCCATTGTCCAGCAGTTGCCAAGGAGGCCGTTGCCAGGGACAAGGTAGAGTCTGCATCCTACTGGGCTCATCTTTAGAGCTTAGGGGGTTTAGGGTTTAGGGTTTAGGGTTAGGGTCAGGTTTAATTCAAGGCTTAGGGTGTAGGATCTAGTTCAAGGTTTAGGGCTCAGGGTATAGGACCTAGTTTAGGGTATAGGGTTAGGTCTAATTTAAGGTTCAGGGTGTAAGGGTTTATGGGTCGAGTTTAAGTTTTAGGGTTTAGGGCTCAGTCTAAGGGTCCATATCCTAATCCCTTCATGCGAGCATTAAACACCTCCACCTCCACCCTTGATTTTAAATGTGTCCCCAAAGATGTAAGGTCTCTTATGGGGTACGATTTAATGTTTCAATAGTAGTGGTAAGGGGTGCTCAATGTCACTACAAAGGTAGGGGATCAAATGGCACGTAATTGATGTCCACATGAGTTCGAAAATGAGTCTTTTGAGCCCCAGCTGTATCTTGTTTAAGTACTTGTGTGGCTTGTCATGGGTCCTCATACGAGCTAGGGTTTGTGGTTTACACTTTAAGCGGAGTGTAAGGTTCAGCGCTTAGGATTTCGAGTCTGTCGGGCGTAGGGTTTGACTTGGGGCTTACCTATAGGGCATATGTTCGAGCGTTGAAGGTGTAGGATTTGTGGCTCACTACGGTTACTGGACAGAATCATGCATGACCGTATATATCTTAAACCTGAGAATGATGGTGCTATGGTACACTTAGATGTAGGACTCGGCCCATCAAAAGCATGAACGCGTAGAGTTTGGGCCAAAGTGGTGTGTACGTGTGGACTCAGGCTCTCTTAATAAAATCAAACCTCCCCACAACCCCAAACCCAAATCGCAGTCCTCGGCGAACCCTTCTAAATCCCTGTGCCCTTATCCTGCCTGCATGCGCTCTTCCGTGCACTCTCTCCGCATTTCTGCAAACAGAGCCAGTGAATTTTGCCAACGAAAGCCTCTGCTCTCTGCGGCCATAAGCCTAGGCTTAAGTCACCACGGGTCAAAGTTTAGTGTTTAAGGTTTCTGTAAATGATGCCTACAGCGCGCCCTGAAGTTTATAGCCCTTGCATTTTTTTGCTACTTGGATCCCTAGGCCATTTGAACAAGGCTTCCACAGCTGAAGGTGAACAGGATATAGGGTCCCGGGAGGGGTTCTGGCTTAAAGCTGTAGGGTCTAAGGATTCAAATAGCACAACGTAGGCAACATTTACTACAGACTTTAGGGTCCAATGTAGGTATTTCTTTGTATACTTAATTCTTAGGGATCGGGTCTAGGTTGAGGGTTTTGTGTTTGAGGTAAGGGGTTTCGGCTTTGGGTTTATAAGGTGTACGGTAATTGTATGTATGATACAGGGCTTGTGTTGCCGTGCAATGAAGCCACAGCCAGGGTGTCCTCAAGGACAAAGAGGTTTGCGGGCGTGCGAAAGGGGTTCCAAATGCCCTGCTTAAGGAGCACACAGAGAGGAATGGCTGCCTCATGAAAAAAACCCTAATTGGTAGTTTGCCCAAGTAGGGAGGCCCCAATATAGACCACAATATACTCAAATCCTTATTATGGAGACCCCCCCCAAAATGGTATTCCCTAATTTTGGGAAACCCTAAACCCTATGCCTATGTATACACCCTAAACCCTAAACTCTATACATCGCCTATACCACTTTAAAATGATACCCCCTAATCTTAGGAACCCCTCAATTGTTGCTAGTAGTCGCAAGGTTAGGGCTCAGTTCCGAAAGCGAATCGTCAACCATATGATTTGATTTTCTGAAAAAAAACAAGGTTTTTGGTTTAGGGCTTAGGGTTTATGGCCCTTTTTTAAACATAGTAGCCCCCCTAGACGAGGATTATCACATTTTGCAGTCTACGTTCGGGCTCCCCATATATGCCCTGAAACGGTACCCCACGCCCAAAACCCTACACCCTGATTAAATAAAAACCTCTCAAATCCTTGGCTCCTTCGTGGAGATTGCTTTGCATCGGGGCTGCTGCAGTTCTGATGGCGAAGAACATACCGGATGGCTCTGGATTTAGGGGCGATGGGCTGGACACGGGGGACGCAACTCATACAATTATACACTTTGGGTACTGCCCCCCCTCAGTAACAGTTGGATAATAATTATAATATGGTTTTACATAGCCCTGAATAGGACCCCTAATATAGACTGTTACTGGGTGGGGGCAGTACCCAGTATATACTCATCATGGCACTTAGCAGCCCTACAGGGACCTAAGTCTTGGGTGAGGGTGGTGGGGTGTGCCCCACAAAAACCAAACCCCAGGTAAGGGTAATAGGAATACAGGGGAACCCCCAAAAGTTAAGGGTCGAACGTCCTAGCCCAGTGCTAAGGAGTACTATTGCAATTCCGGTATCCTCTTGGACGCACAGAGCGTTTCGACGATTATCCTTAACGGACCAAAGCTCTCGAGAAAGCACGGCCCTAAACCTCCAAACCACTAACATGAACCCTTCAAACAAGCTTGAGATGCTAACGTATGAGGTATGAGGTATCAAACCTTGCTTTAGGGCCACACTGGCTGTTGTAGATAGGGTTGACCTATTGGGGGGTTAGTGGGCACTAAGGGAATCTATATGAATCTATTATAGAGGGATTCGATCGGAATTATTTCCCTTATTCCCTACTGACAGCCAGTACGGTGTACTTCTTTAGCGTGATTTCCAGGAATTCCCAGGGGGGATCTAGGAAGTAGAACCCACAATATGGTACCTTGTAAATTACACAAGGTCAGGAAGTTACCCAGTGCAGCAACACCACATGGTTTATTCTGTAGGGTTTGGGGTTTAGGGGTTTGAGGTTTAGGGATTAGGGTTCAGGGTTTAGGATTTAAGGACTTTAGGGTTTAGCGACTAGGGACGCCAAGTAGACATTTGCATTCACCCCCCCCCCACGCAAAAGGTACTCGTATCATGCCATATCTGTCCCAAACGGTTCATGGACAGATATAATATAACATGCACTTATGGGCCCCCAAATGGTAGTTTCCCTAAATAGGGGGACCCGAATATAGATCCCAATATACTATAATCCTTATTGTGGGGATCTCCAAAATGGTATTCTGGGAAACCCCCAAATGGTTTCCAGAGTTTAGGCCTTAGGCTTTACTTTGGCGCCCAAGTACATACGAGATAGCTATATGAGCTATGGTCTAAACTCCTTAAAGGGAGGTTATATAGGGGAATATATAGGGGACTACAATATAGGGGGTATTGAGGGGGATACTAGGAGTTTAGACTATGGCTCATATGAGTGTGAGAAAGCTGCTTGTGGATATTCAAGGGGCACGGGGTCTATAGGACTAGACAAGGAAAACTGGCTAAACCCTGAACCTAGGTTCCTCAGTAACTCCTTCATGATAAGGGTTTAGGGTTCAGGGTTAGGGTCTCTTCAACTTTAGTCAGGAGACCCCCAAAAAAGGGAAAACGGATACTGCTGGGGTACCTAGACACCTTAAGCAGGGAAAACTGAAGCATTTTTGTGCTAAATCCTAAGCTCTAAGCACCCCAAACACGAAACCCTACCTAGAGCAACCAATCTTCCCCCTAAAAAGGAAACATCTACTCCTAAAAACACAATAAAGCATCCCCTCGTTCCTCTCCCCGGTTGTTGGGCTTTGACCCTAAGCCCTAAACCCTAAACCTTGTGGGTTTAGCGTTTAGCGTTTAATGTTTGGTCCCCAGAGCTCAAGCCTTCCCTTGGGAAGGCCAGAAAAGGGCCATGTTTGTCCTAGGAGCTTCAGGGTTCTGCAGTGTAGGGTTTTAGGGGTGTAGGGTTTTAGGGGTTTAGGCTTGTAGGTTTTTAGGACGTCCGCTCGTGCTAGACCTTTCGTGGGGGCCAAGGAGTCAATGCAAATTTGGGACATCGGCCCCTGTTTGTGGGCACTTAGGCCTGAGTGGAGGGTAGTGGGAGTGTCTAAATAACTAAACATGCGCATGTGAATGAATACAGAGGTAAACCCTAATCCTTAAACCCTAATCCCTAAACCCTAATCCCTAAACCCTTAACCTTAAACCCTAAACCCGGCGAAAAAGAAATACAATCGTAGAGTTGCTAGCTGCTAGAACAAGGCTGGAGACAATCGATGATATGGGTTGTTCTCAAACTTATGGGCCGAGTGTAGTGATAGGTTGTTTAGGGTTTAGGGTTGTTCAGACTTATGGGCCCCCTGTGGTGATAGACTATATAACGGCACCTAATATGTAGTTGTACCAACATGGGTCCCGAATCTTGGGGAGTACACCATTATTGAGGTTGCATCCATGGACTGTCAGGACGACTCTGCACCTGCTCTTTGTGTCTCGGGAAATAGGTCTGCAATGTTGCTACATCAGCTCCTCGCAAGTCAACTTGCCTTAGCCCACATTACCCTAGGAAGAAAAAAAAGGATCCTTTATACATAAATATAAGGAATCCCATACCCCAACAAGTATAAAGGATCCCTTACATTGATCCAGTTGCACAAGGCCTTGGTTGCGAGGATGGACCTTGCATGGAATTCCACACCTTGCAAGCAAACGCAGCACTGATGCCCTCACATCTGTTGTCTGCCATGACGCCCGCGACTTGCCCCCGCCCGTTATGATCCCGAAAGATGGGTGGTGCTTGCCCCTGGCCATTTTCCATGGAACGATCTCAGCCAGCCACCACAGGACGGCTAGCATAGCTGAGCCGCCGGAATGGTCGTGAAGATCCAACAGTGCGCCTCTACCACGGAGCATGTTGGGCCAAGTTTCTTCCTGAAGGGCCTGCCGGAAGAGACCGAAGCTCAGTCTCTCTGTGCAAACAGCATCCAAAATCTGGGTATAGGATTCCCGATCTGGAGTCTGGCCATTTGACAGCATGCATGAGAAGAGTGACAAAGCCATGCGCCACTGCCGGGCTGCGCCGCAAGCCGCAATACCAGCACTGGAGCTTATCTCACTTGGTACAACTCCTGCTGCAGGCATCTGTGCCAACAGGGACAACGCCAGCTGCCACTCGCCACCTTTCTCACACGCGCTGATGCTGGCATTGAAGCTGATCTCATTTGGTACAAGGTCTGCTGCAGGCATCTGTGCCAACAGGGACAATGCCATCTGCCACTCGCCACCTTTCTCACACGCACTGATGGCGGCATTGAAGCTGATCTCATTTCGTACGACTCTGGCTGCAGGCATCTGGATCAAAAGCAACAGAGCCATCTGCCATCCGCAGCCTTTTTCACATGCGCTGATGCCGGCATTCAGGTTGATTTTATCTGGCATGACCCTAGCTGCGGGCATCTGCGCCAGCACAAATAAGGCCATCTGCCATTGGCCACCCTTTGCACATGCATTGATGCCCGCACTGAAGCTGATCTCATCTGATATCACTTGAGCGGCAGGCATCTGCGCCAGCATCAACAAAGCCACCTGCCACTCATCCCCTTTCTCGCAGGCACCGATGGCAGCATTGAAGCAGATTTCGTCAGGTATGACTGTAGCTGAGGGCATCTGCGCGAAAAGAGACAGTGCCTTCCGCCATTCCCCAGCCTTCTCACACGAACTAAGCGCGGCACTGAAGCTGATCCGATTGGGTATGACCCTTGCCGCAGGCATCTGCGCCAACAGAGATACGGCCACCTTCCACTCGCCACCTTTCTCACACGCGCTGATGCTGGCACTGAAGCTGATCACATCTGCTTGGACTCTGATGGCAGACATGTGTGCGAGAAGAAACAGAGCCATCTGCCATTCACCACTTTTCTCGCAGGCACTGATGCCGGCATTGCAGCTGATGACATCTGGCGTAGCATTCGCTGCAGGCATCTCTGTCAATAGAGATAAGGCCATCTGCCAGTTGCCGTCTTGCTTACAGGCGCTGATTCCCGCGTTGAAGCTAAACACGTTTGGTATGACTCTAGCTGCCGGCATCTGCGCCAACAAAGACAGGGCCATCTGCCATTTGCCACCTTTCTCGCATGCGCTGATGCCGGCACTGAAGCTGATGACATTGGGCGTGACTCTGTCTGCAGGCATCTGCGCCAGCAGAAACAAGGCCATCTGCCACTCGCCAACCTTCTCACACGCGCTGATGCTGGCACTAAAGCTGACCTCGTTCGGTATGGCTCGACCTGCAGGCATCTGCGAGAAGAGACACAAAGCCCGCTGCCATTCGCCAGCTTTTTCGCATGCGCTGATGGCTGCGTTGAAGCTAAACTCGTTGGGAGCGGTGTTGACCAAGCTCATTTGTGACAAGAGTCCTAGTGCAAGCGGCCACTGGGAACCCTTCTCGCAAGCAGAGATAGCCGCACTGAAGCTGTAGACATTAGGTATCGCTTTGGATGCAGCGATCTCCACCAACACTTGAACTGCCATCTGCCATTGTGTGGCACGCCCGCAGGAAATGATGGCCTGGCCACATCTTGTTTGGTCCACTTTGCGGGTATTGCTCTGTAATACTTGGATTGCAGATTGCCAGTCCTTGTTGCCATCCTTCCTGCAAGGTGCCCTGGCGAGTTTCTTGTGGGCCATGTCTGCAGCGTATGCCATTGCAGCTGGCTAACATACCCAGCTTGCTACAACCCAGAGCAGGGTATCTCAACTTGTTTGTCTGTCAGGACCTTAGCTACCATGCGTGATCATCTAGCTCATGTAGATTTGGCTGCGATGTCAGAGAAAGGATCTTCGCTTGTATGGTGACCGCATTCAAGAAAGAGACCCACTGCCCGAGAAGGTTGTGCTGTGTCAAGTTGAATGTGACATCTCTTCAAGCGAGTAAGTTCAGAGACAACAATACTATAGTAGTTCCCATTACCCCTTTATATAACCCCAATATACTATAGTAGTTTCCACTTTCTTTTCCAGTATCCCCTATAACAAGCCCTACACGCCTTGAAGCCCAAAATCCTGGACCCCTACCCTGCACCTCCACCAAGACATAAGGCCTCATCTAGCATGTGGGTTTATCAAGCTGTTTAGGCCCAGTTTGGGGCAATTCTTCACACACCTCCGCACCGACTAAACACCACAAAATTCCCCTTCGTTCGATACTTGATAGCTCCAGATCCTGAACCATAAAGTTTACATGGGGTCTGGGTTTAGGGTTTATGGTCCATAAACCCTAAACCCATCCCTCATCCCTAATACCCGATTGCCTGGGCATCTGGGGGCCGGAAACTGCACTCGTTTAGGGTTTAGGGCCCCAATCCAAGGTTCACCTATCTGCTTCCAATATAGTCGGACAATTCAATCCTAGCCAAGATGTGGAACCTGGACCCTAGTTCTTCAATCCGGAGCTTGAGCCTAAACCCTGGTTATTACCACGTGCTCTAGACCCCCTTTTTTCAGGCTGAGGGTAAGGGAGTACCGTAGGTTCTGGCACCTTCAGGGAATTGTTCAAAATGAAAATGAGCACTACCTAAACCCCGAAAGTATGTAAAATAATGGCCCTAAATCCATAATAACAACCCTAAAAGGCCATTATTTAACATACTTTTGGGGTCCAGGTATTCATCTCAGTCATTTCAGGTTTATGGTTTGAGGGCCCCTAAGCGGCAGCCCCCCCTGAACATTGAACCCTAAACCCTGACCCTAAGGGTCCAAGGACCCAAATAATAGGGTTTTAGGGCCCAAATACCATAAATATCCTAGTATTTGGGCCCTAAACACTCCCTATTATTTGGGTCCTTGGACCCTTAGGGTGATGCTTGGGCAGCTGGAATGCAGTCCGGACCGGTAATAGCCAGGATTCTAAGGTTGTACACTGCTTGAAGTTGATTGTGCTTGCAAAGGGATCGTCCTGCCACCCCAAGCCACAAAGGGGCTCCTATAAGGCTGCTTTGGGTTTAGGGCGCAAGTAAGTGTAGAGTATATACCACATGGGTACATCGACCCTTTGCACATTTCCAGCGAAAAAACGAAGCGGACTTGTTCTTAGGCGGAGGCTAAGAGGCATGTAAACTGGCGGCATCCTATGGCGTGAAGAGGGCTGGCTGATGCATGATCCGACGAATCAAGAACTCAACCTTCAATCCAAAATCGTGCGGCCGCCTTAAACCCCTTGTATAAATGCCCCAAATTTTGTGGCTGCTTGCAAGTCGCGTGCTGTGGATGTGGATGACGTCCTGTCCAGGCTATACTGACCTTAAACCGTAAACCCTGAACGTGAAATCGGGATAGGGCTTGATCTGATATTACGGACATAACCCAAATTTTGGGAGAATCGTCTTACACCTAAAACCCAGAAACCTAAACCCTAAGCCCTCAAGCCTCGCTAGTGTACGGGCTTCTCTATGGTAAGCCGTGATACGTAGTTCTCGTGAAGTATAATGTATAGCCCCTGAACCCCATACAACCCTATATTATACCCCCTTTAAAGGGGTCTACATTACTAGTTTTCTAGAGTCACAGGATGATGTGCAATGGGCTTTGGGGGGGCTTTGTCTTGTAGGGTTTGGGGGGGTTTAGGAATTTAGGGATTTAGGGTTTAGGGATTTAGGGTCTAGGGCTTTAGGGCTTTGGGATTCCAAGGGGAGTGTATTGGCAATTGGTCAAGTCATTGCAGTGTGCTCGAATCCCTAAACCCTAAACCATAATCCCTAAACCCTAATCCCTAAACCCTAAACACAAAGCATATCTAACAGGTCTCAGGTTTGTCAATGCAAGTCCAGACGCATTGGTAGGCTCTAAGCTGATTCCTCCCAGACCTTGAGGTAAAGGGGTAATATAGGGGCCTAAATGGGTGGTTGTCAAAATTATGGTCCCTTCTTGGGTACCCTAAATATTAGGTGCCGTACTATAATAGGGACCCAAAAAAGGACCACAATTTTGACAACCGCCCATATAATTACCAATGTAATGGTTTAGGGTTTAGGTGTTTAGGGTTTAGGCCGTGGAGTTTGTTTCGGAAACCCCGAAGAACCCTGAATTGCCTACACACTGCAATCAAAGCCCTGACCCTAAACCTAGCTTCCCGGGAACCACGGAAAACCTGAACCCTCAACTTGAAAAAGTATCAGAGCCCCAAACCCTGAACTCTCTTTTCTCGAGGCCTCAGCACGTATCCAACTCTAACAAGAGCCGTGTGCCCCGACTTCCCTTCGGCAAGTTGCAAACCGAATGCCCCACGCTCAAACAGCCCTAAAAACATTTCACCAGTGACGAGACAGGAGAACAAGCTTTGTAGGCGTCCTCTGTTGTTGTGGTAGTACTTCATAATACGGGTTTAGGGTTTGTGGTTTAAGGGTGAAAATGGCAGCCACGAAAGCATCCTAAACCCCAAGCCCTGCACCCCAAAATAGGCACCCTAACAAAACAGCCACACGGTTTCGTGTCTAGGGTGAACCCTCCCTCAGCTCTCGCTTATAGTTGACGCCTGCAGGCCCTGAAAATACAGCGAATCATGAAACCCCCAAAGCCCTGAATTCTAAACTCCAAACCCTAAAACCTGGGCTCCAAACCACACCCTACACCCCCTCACCTAAACCCCAAGCCCCAAACCCTAAACCCCAAACCCCTGAATCCTAAACCCCAAGCCCTAAAACCCCAAACCCCAAACCCCCAAATCCTAAACCCCAAGCCCTAAAATCCCTAAACCCCAAACCCCCAAATCCCGAACCCCAAGCCCTAAAGCCTCAACTCTAAACCCTCGAACCCTGGGTTCAAGGTCATGAAGACATGGCGCAGGATTTAGGGTTTGGGGTTTTAGGGGCTTTAGGGTTTTAGGGCTTAGGGTTTTAGGGTTTTAGGGTTTTAGGGTTTTAGGGTTTAGGGTTTGGGGCTTAGTGTCTAGGGCGCAGGTTTAGGGCTTAGGGCCTAAGGTTTAGGGCTTAGGGTTCAGGAGTTTAGGGCTTAATTAGGGTGTAGTGTTTACGGCCTCTAACATCTCTTGTACCCTTACACAAAAAGCCGGAGCCCTAAACTCCAAGCCTTAAACCCTAAACCCCAGATCCTACACCCGAAGCTGCAAAACCGAAACCCAAACACTGAACCCCAAGCCCTATATAACCCTACAGTATACCCCTATATAATCCCAGGTTCCATTTCATGTTCCATGCTCTTTTCCATTTGATTCTCTGTTAACCCCCTATCCC